TCCCGGATGGTCTTCAGCTGCTCCATCATGAGTCCCGCCTGGCGTATCGCCTCCTTCGCTGCGCTAGCTTGGTCCTCTGGGACGTGGTGCGTCGTGAAGAGGGAGGGCTGCTGAGCACTCGTCAGTGGATTTGCGAAGGACACCGTGTGTCGAGTGGTGTTCTCTTCCTCCACAGTCAGAATCTCAGGCGCCGTCACATCCTGAGGCACCTTACTGGCGGACGCTTTCCGACTCCTCCTGCGCTTCAGCGGCTCTTCATCCTCATCATCATCAGGAAGATTGATAACAGTATTGGGTGGAGCTGCGGAGAAGAATCAGGATCAGAGATCGTGAGTCAGTCGACTAAGAACGGCGTTAAGAATATAGTACCTGGGTTCGAAGTTGCTGCGTCTTCCATCTCGTGGTCATCAGCCCGGGCCGAGTTTTCAGAAGTAGCATCACTGCAACTCCAAAGGATCAGTCGACTAACTTCAGCATCGACCAGAGACAAAGTTCACACAAAATGAGAAGATTCAAACAACACGATTACCCTGATATGGTAGGGATGGACACCTTCATCTTCGGCAGGAGCTTGATCGGCTTCGACGAGGCCGCCCTGGGCTGCTTCGGCGCCTTTTCAGTCGGCACCGGAGAGATGGTCCGAGGACGCTTGGTCGACTGAGTGGTGGTCGCAACCCCCTTACCACGTTCGGTTGAAGGGTCGTGGACAAGCTTCGACCACCTTTCCGAGCGCGGTGGTACGACCTCCTCCTCCTCTTCCTCCTCATCTTCAACGCCATCGTCATCGCCGTCGTCATCATCATCGTCGTCGTCATCCCCTGCAACGTCCGAGTCCCACTCCTCCTCTTCCTGGCTCTCACCCCCGCTCGCCTCACCCTCCTCAGTCAGAGTTTGTGCCCCATTGGGCATCGAGTACAGCTCGGTGAGAGCCTAGCAGATATCAAGACAAGGATCAGTCGACCAGTCGGCAGGATAAACAGAAATGAGTGCGACAAGAACGCAGTGGAGGGCAGAGCAAATGTACCTTGTTTGGATCGCTGTTGTGGTCGAGTGGAGGAATTCTTCTGGCTCCGCGTGGGTTGTCCTTGTTTCCGGTAACGGCTACCATCCATCTTTCCAGAGTGACATCGTCGACTGCTTCTGGATGGACTCGAGTCTCGTCTTCGGTCCCACAGTACAACCACATGCAGTGGCTCCGAAACTGAAGAGGCTGGATGCGACGCCTGAGGAAGACCTCCAAGAGGTCCATGCCCATCACTCCCTCCCGAACCAACTTCACCACGCGCTCCATCAACATCTTCACATCAGTTTTCTCCTCCGGAATCAACTTCAGAGAGGAGGGCTTGTTCACTCGGTCCATGGTAAACTGTGGGAGTCCACTCGACTGCCCCGGCGTCGACTGGTCCCGGCAGTAGAACCAGGTCGACTGCCAGCCTCTGACCGACTCGGGAAAGGTCATGGGCGGGAAGGTGCTCTTATTCCTCACCTGGATCTCCAGACCCCCACACATTTGGACGACTCGGGTTCTCTCATCACCTGGGCTCGCCTTCTTCACGGTCTGAGAGCAACACGTGAATATATGTTTGAACAAACCACAGTGCGGTTGGCAGCCCAAGAAACCCTCACACATGGACACGAACGCAACAAGATAGGCAATGGACTTTGGGGTAAAGTGGTGGAGCTGCGCTCCGAAGAAATTCAAAAAGCCACGGAAGAAAACACTCGGCGGCAAGGAAAACCCACGATCAACATGGGCGGCCAAAAGCACACACTCACCCTCTTCTGGCTGAGGCTGCCATTCCTTCCCCGGAAGCCTCACAGCTCCGTGAGGGATCAAGCCCTCGTTGGCCATGTCGAGGAGGTCATTCTCTGTGATGGTCGACTGGATCCAGTCTCCTTGGACCCAGCCCTTCGGCAGGCGGGATCTGGACGAGGACCCTCCGCGGCTGGTGGATCTCCCCTTCGCCTTCTCCGACGCCGACGCCTTCTTTGCACGCTCCAGCGCCGCCGTCTTCTCCTTGGCCATGGTCGCCGGCGAGATGCGCGAAGGGAAGTGGTGCGGGGGAGAGAGCGAGCACGCTGGGCGGGGAAGAAGGAAGCAGAGAGAGGGAGAGAATGCTGAGGCGCAGCACAGAAATCCTCGCCAGGCACATTTATAAGGTCCCTTCCGAGTGGATGATAGGTGGGCCCGTCGATCTAATCATATCTGGGAGCAGTTGTGCAGACGGGATACGTGGCGAAAAAGGCGGCGCGGAGATCGAGGCGTCTATGCCCCGTCCCATCCGAACGCCGCGGTCCGCCCCGCTTCGCGCGCGTCCCCAAATTTCGCATCCCGCGGAATCCGCGAACAGCAAATCAGTCTGTCAGACGCCGTGTTTCCGGCGATCCGTCGCTCGGAGATCGTCGAAGCCCGAAAGATCACTCGACGCAAAAATAGAATGGATCGAGTCGACTGAAGGCAAGTTGCTCCCTGTCGACGAAGAGATTCTTTGGTCCAGGACAACGCACGACCAGAGCGCAAAGGTTAATCGGAAACAACATCAACTCCTTCCTCACTCGAAGCCTCAATCCATTCGGGGGCTAATGATGGGGTTATGTACCTAGGGTAGGGTCATGGACCTGATCAAAGTACCTTACCCAAGGACACCCTTAGAAGAAGTCACCTTCCAGTCGACCAACGAGGGACGCACTCGACTGACTTGAAGGACTCGACCACGAAGACTCACTCGACTACCGGAAAGTCAAGAGACACTCTGCACTGCAACGGCCTGTAATCAAGTAGGCGTTATGATAGTAAAGGCACTTTATATGGGGCGTTACCAGTAACGCCCCAGACTTAACTCACCTTAAACCCTCTCCTGCGTGGGCTGGCTGGGGTCCTGGCGCGCTCTATATAAGCCACCCCCCTCCACAGGCAGAAGGGTTCGGCACCTTGTAATTCATATACTCATAATCCACTCGACCGCCTCCGGGCTCCGAGACGTAGGGCTGTTACTTCCTCCGAGAAGGGCCTGAACTCGTACATCCTTTGTGCTTACAACCTCTCCATAGCTAGGACCTTGCCTCTCCATACCTACCCCCACTCTACTGTCAGGCTTAGAACCACGACAGATAGGACTTGAGAGAATATAGATATTACCTTTAGCTCCTTGTGGGTTCGACACTCCATAATTATCACTTCCACCTTTGGAAATTGCTACGATGTTTCCTTGCACTTGGGGATTATCATGCAACACTGGCCCGGTAACCAGATCTAATTCCGAGCGCCTAGGAACGACATGGTTCACGTGTTGTAAATAAAATGATCCCAAGTGGGAAATTTGGGACCACCTTCGTGGTAAATCCTTTGGTAGGCCCTAAGGCCCAGAATTTCTTCTCGATGATATCACTCCTTGGGGGTATGTCGGTGACATGATAATGGTATTGTGTGATAGACAAATTCATTGGATAAGTCCATGGTGCGGGAAAGTGTAGAACTCCTGCAGAGTGTAAAAATATATTCAAACAACCTGGTCCATGGTATTGGGCATAGGTCATGCTAGGTTCACCTGGATGGCCAGTGTCAAAGGGCTGCAGGCTTGTGGACTGAGCTTGTCGAGAAGAGCTTGTGCGGGGACCAGTGAAGACGGATGAATGGTAGACAAGTGGGCGCCATCTGCCGAGAAGTTGGGTGGCTGCATGATCTATTGATGATGAGGGTTAGAGTGTTGCAGCTTTGGGATGTGTCAATCAATTGATAAAATGGGGAAAGTGTCGAGGTGGTCACAAGACAACAAAATAGGCTGAATCTATATCCAAACATGGAGCATTTTTTGTTGTTCAGAAAATCCAAACATTTTTTCACTAATATGCAAGACTTGCGTATCATTTCAATGATGGATAGAAAGTGAAGGTCACATGGAACATCTCACAATTATTGTTCCTGCGAATGACATAACCTAGGTCGTGAGAGTAGAGACATGTGTTGCCCAACCTTGCGCAAGGATGGCACTAAGTGATTAATGTAAACCGTGGGCACCTGTGAGAGCCCAAGCCTTCGCTTCTTCCTGGATCTCCAACACGGGTTGCAGGGCGAGCGGACGCGCATTGTCGAACGAGCACATGTTCTGGAAGCACCAGATGGACCATGCCATGAGAATCACCAATGACACTAGGCACTTTTGATGGCCGACGAGCGATGTAGAAGTAACAGAAGCCCAGTAGAGTAGAAAGTCCACGTCTTCGGTCAGTGCAGGAACGGTAGCACGACACACAAGAACATCATGCCAAACCCGTCGAGAGAAGGGGCACCCAATAAGGAGGTGATGCATGGTCTCCGGCCCCTGGTCGTGAAGGCGTATGAGTCGGCGTGAGGCAGACCATGACGAGTCAATCTCGTCGAAGTCCAGCATCGGTCGAGGTTCGTTGGCCAGGCGAAGAACTTGATTCAGAGGGACGCCTTATGTTTGCTAGATCTAGTGCTCGTGCGGTGCGAAGTTGGAGCCGAAGAACAGTGCACCTTAGCAGGAGTTGGCCGAATAGTTACCATCTTGCGTCCATTGTCAGTATAGTGTGAGATAGTACCCTCAAAAAAAAAGTATAGTGTGAGATAGCATCATGCTACAACGTCAAAAAATCAAAACATGGAACTGGGGTTTAACCCCAAACATAATTTCCATAAAACTGTTTTTTCACTCTAAATAAATTTGATAAAAACGGTCTGTCTAAAAATCAACTCATTTTTCTACAAAAAATCCTCATTAGCTATCCAAACAACCACTAACATGACCCATTTATGCCACGATCTGTATCTGTCATGCCATCCCACGACAAGATCTTGTCCATGCGGCCCACTTCTGCGACGCACCTCCCCACAAGCGAAGCACGTGTGAGGTTCCTTATTGCGCAACAGGCAAAACTAAGCACACATGTGACATGTGCTGTGCTCAACACACAAGACGAACATGACTGAACTGTTACAGCAACAAGGCCATTTTCAAACCGCTCGGGAATTTGCATCGTCAGCAAAAAGGCCTCTTGCCATCGCCGGACGCCGTCGTGTTCCCCCGCCGTGACACCGGTGGAATGCTGAAATGCCAGAGCCGGCCGGTCTTTCCCACCCGGAACATGTCGCAGAGGAACTCCTCGGCATACTTCTTCTCCACCCTGCGGTCCACGTCGTGCAGGAACACGTCGGTGTCCCCCTCGCCGCGCCTCGCCCGCGCCATTGCCGCCGCCGTCCAAATCGCCGCCATCCTGCCAGGCGCCGACGCGAAGTACCCCTTGGGCGCGTCCAGCATGAGCATGTCCCACTCGTTCTCGTACACCTCCGGCGGCAGGTTGTGCAGCGCCAGCGGGCACGCGGCGTTGTCGCGGACCAGCACGGGGGCGTCGGCGGCCTCGGCTCCGGCGCCGGGGACGCAGGAGGAGAAGTTCTTGTAGGAGTCCAAGAGGAGGTCGGCGTGGTCCATCCGCGTGCGGTAACTGACCAGATGGGCGCGCAGGAACGGCGACTTAGCGCGCACGATGCGGTACCACTCCGGATCCTCCTCCAGGAAGACGGTGACGCCGCCGGGGTTGAGCGCGTGCCAGAGCCGCGAGTCATGGCCGAGGCCGAACACCAGCAGCCGGATCGGCGCGCGGCGGCGCAGCACGTCGAGAGAGAGGGAGATCTCGGCGCGCGACTGCTGCGGGACGGTGCGCGTTGTGGCGTAGTACACCGCGGCGTCGGCGAGCGCGGCGAGGCCTGAAGGCTCGTACCCGACGCCCGAGGGGGCTAGGACGCCGGGCAGGCACGGGAGCAACGGCAGCAACGGCAGCGGCGAGGTGAGGAGGGTCGCGACCAGCAGCGACGTGGCGACGAGCAATGCCGCTGCAGCGGCAGTGGCGAGGCGGCCGGGAGGCTTCATTGCGTGGGTCGCCGGCGCGCAGTGCGTGTATGCTGTGTGAGGTGGGGATTGGACAATACTCCATATTTAGCGCGAGCAGCGGAGCACGACGTGGCATCCCCTTCGCTGCACGATACCGCACGTTGCTTTCTTTTTCCGTCCCAATGTCGTAGTACTACCCCGCCCGACGAGGCAACGACTTTACCGCAATTTTCTATTAGGTTTAGGGAATCTCTACCTACATTGATGCATATGGCCAAGTGGCCCATCAGTGGGTTTATTCTGGTATGTACGGAGGAGCGCGCGTGGTGGGGAGGAGCGCATGCGGTGGGGAGGAGTCGTGTCAGGGAGTGGAATGGTCGCGGGGAGGAGCCGCGGCGGCTCGATGGGGAATGCAGCGAGGAGAATCCCTCGGCACTCGGCGGATGCAGGGAGCGGGTGGAGGTGGCACGGTGGAGCATGGCGCCACCCGCATCCAAAGTGCCGGTGGTGGTGATGGACGCTGGCGCGGGCCTGCTGCCCTGCCGACCCTTGCTGCGGGGTAGGGGCGCCTTTTGTCCAAAAGGACCTCCTGATCAATAGAATTGTCAAAAAAATCACATGTCAAAAACATTGTCAAAAAGGATCCGCTCACTAGTGGCGGCAGGCGCGGCAGGTGACACGTGGCACCTGCCGCCACGCCAGGAGGCGGCGGGCCCGGCCGCCACAGCAGGAGGCGGCAGCGCTCGTTGTAACGGGTTATCCACAGCGCAGCAGCCGCGACGTAACGGGCGAGGCCATGTGGGCCATGCCGCCACCCAGTGAGGCGGCCTCTGTTGCGGCTGTCGCTCGCGGGCCGACAGGCCGTGCTGCAGTGGTGACGTGACTGCGGGCCAGGCCGCCACCTGCTGAGGCGGCCTCTTTGCAATAGCGGACAAGGGGACACAGACGGCGCTGATTCCCGTGTGCGACAGCGACACTGACGGCGGTGATTCCCAGATTTGATTCCCACGCGCGGGAAAATGCACGCTGATGCCCTGCTTTAGCTTCTTTCGCCCGGGAATCAGTCCTGCTTTAGCTTCTTTTGCCTCAGCGGATGGGACAACACTGTGAGAATTGCTCTGGCTATTGCTTGAGCAGATGCGACGGCACTGCAGGAATTAGTCACTCGCTGCGGGAATCCGATGCTGCGGGAAGCTGTTGTGCCGACACTACAGGGATCCTAAAATTTCCCGCTTAATTTTCCCGCTTAATTTTCTCGGTATTTTGATATATTCTTTAATAACATTCTTGTTTCTTGTTGTAGTCTCCTCCGCCTCTGTGCATGTACTATCTTTGGATTGACACGGAGATGCCGGCTTGGGTAGTGACTGAGATTCGTGAAAGAAGTCGCCGTGCGTGGAATAGTTTCTATGCGGAAGAGCGACGCGAGAAGGCGGAAGCTGAGGAGAAAGCAGAGCAAGAGAGGGAGTTAAAAGAATATTATGCGGAGCAACACCTTTTTTTTCAGGATTTAGGATAGAAAAACAGGGAAGAGGCTCGTCGCATGGAGGAGCAGGAACGACAGCGAAAGGAGGCTCGTGAGGCGGAGAGGCAGAGAAAGAAAGAAAGGGCTCGTGAGGCCAAGGCAGCAGAAAAAGCTGGCGATGGAAAAGGAAAATATCCACGCTGGACTCAGTAGATTCCTGTGGTAGTATTATAAATTCGCAATCATTCGCAATCATTTGTATCTTTATTTTTGAGTTTAATGTAGCTTTATTTCAGTAGTTAAATGTAGCTTTATTTCAAATCTATGATGTATCTTATTTTCAGTTGTACCGTGTAGTAATGGAAAAAAATATAGTTTTAGAATAAAGTAGTGGCATTTTCTTTCCCTCCACTAATATCGAACATCGTGCAACAACTACAAAATGAAATTAAGATAGAACATAATGCCCTACAATAAGAGAGTACAAACTAATAATGCAAGTACATCTGAATTAAACGGTAGAACTGGAATACAGCTTAAAAACTATATGAAGGCATCATCGTCATCCTCCGTCGATGCAGAACTCTTGCCCTTTGAGGATGCAAAACTCTTACCCTTGGACGATGCAGAAGTCTTGCTCTTCGAGGATGCAGTACTCTTGCCCTTTGAGGATGCAAAACCCGGAAGCGGCGGCATGAAGATATCATCTTTGTCCTAGCTTTCCTCAGTCCATAAAAAAGGATGCTTTTCTGAAGTCCTTCTGAAAGTTTCACTCTTTGGCTCCACTACCTTCTTCCACCTTGCATGCAACCTAAGAAGTTCTTTACGTACCTCCTCATAGGTCCTTTCAGGCCACCCAGACCTACGTAATTGGTGAGCCAACTCATTCATTATGGTGTCACTACCGGTGAGTTCGTCCCATGGAACTATCCTATTGTCCATCCTGAAATCGGTAGCTAGCCTGAGAAGAGTCCTGCTCATCCCAGAGTGAAAACTACGATCGAAAGGATAATGGGACATCTCGACTACACTACACTCGAATGCTTATCCACCTCTTTCTGAAGGGGGTTTTATAGGTAGAGAGGAGAAAATGGCGGGTAAGAACGACTGTAGTATGGCAGGAAAGGGTTGGCGGGAACATATGGCGAGAAGGGGTTGGCGGGAAACGGGTGGCAGGAAGATATGGCGGGAAGGGGTTGGCAGGAAACGGGTGACGGGAACATATGGAGGGAAAGCGTTGGCGGGAAAATATTGAGGGGAAAGGGTTGTGTAAGTGCATCTAGTGCCACCCCTAGTTGGTTTTGGAGTATTGACGACAAAGTTGGTTGAGGGACTAATGCGTTTGTGAGAATTGCAGGATAACGCAGGAAGTGTCCCTCATTGATTCGGTTTACCTACCGGAGATGACCCCTAAAAATGTATGAAGGCATTGAAGACAATGGTGGTGTGTGAAGATATTCACACTGAAGTCTATGACATGAGAAGACATTGAGTGAAGACTATGGAGCGCGAAGACTGAGTCGTTTCGTTGTTTCCTTTTCTTCTTTGTTGAGTCATAGGAACCACCGTACTGTTAAGTGGGGTCCAAGTGAACTAAGTCAGAGTGACTGAAGTGATGCTCAACCCAAATCCTATGTCTTCGAGCGAAGACAATAAGAACAAATCTTATCCAGAGCTGGATGAGTCAGCTTTGCTTGTAGCCCAAGTAAAGTTGCCGTGTGTGTTTGAAATCTGACCATTGGAACACGTGTCAATTCCTTAGTGACCCAGGGTCATTTCGGACATATCAGGTCGGGTTGCCTTGTGGCTATAAATAGCCCACCCCCTACACCATAAATTGGTGGCTGCTCAGAGTTAGCTTACGGCTTTTGTCGTTTTGAGAGCAACCCACCTCGAAGCCTTTGAGAGAGAAATCCTTGCGAGGACAAAGCCCAAACACCTAGAGCCAAAGAGTGTTAGGCATCACTGAAGTCTTTCTGTCTGTGTGACCTAAAGACTTATTACACTTGAGGATTGTGTATCCTCCAGCCGGTTAGGCGTCGCGTTCTGAGCATCCAAGAGTCATTGTGGATTGCCGGTGAACGAAGTCTGTGAAGGTTCGGAAGTGTACCTTGAAGACTTACCCGAGTGATTGGGCGAGGACTGTGTGTCCTTAGCTCAAGGGGAATAAGGTGAAGACACGGTCTTCTGAGTTGAATCTCAGCCTCCCTAACCAGACGTACAGTTGTCACAGCAACTGGAACTGGTCCAACAAATCCTGTGTCTTCAACAAGTGACTTGTTCTATCCCTTCCCTCCTTTAGTTTGAGTTTGTCTTCGTGAAGTCATTGCTTATCTGTCTTATCTGTTTGACTTCAATGTTTGACTACTATTGTTGATTGGCTTCATACTATCTTCCATCCTGATCCCTACTACCTAGCTGCTATTAGTCTTCGTACGTTAACACTATTGCATACTTGACTATGGCTTGCTTGTTGTAGTTTATCTTCCGCTGCATATCAATTAGGTCATTTCTATTGTTTGTCTTCGAAACTTCCATGTTTTGAAGACTTTGATAAAAATCGCCTATTCACCCCCCCTCTAGTCGATAACTAGCACTTTCAATTGGTAACAGAGCAAGGTACTCCCTTGTTCTGTGTGATTCGGTTTAACCACCTGGAGTTTAGCTATGTCGACTGCAGGATTGAGGAATGTATCTTGCCCCACCTTTGACGGTCATGAATATCCTCGGTGGAAAGCCATGATGAAGAAGCGACTCATGGCTATGGACAGCGAACTGTGGACCGTCACTGAGATTGGTCTTACCGATCTATGCAAGATGGCGGAGGCTGATGACATTCGCAAGTACACTCTACTAAACCTCACAGCGAAGGATGTCATCTGCTCCTGCCTGTCCCGAAATCAGTTCAAGAACGTCATGCACCTCAATCACGCGAAGCTAATCTGGGACCGGCTTTCTGAGGTCTATGAAAGTCATCTTAATCATCATGATCCTTGGCTTGATGACTACAAGGAGTCTCTTAAAGAGATGACCTTTCCACCTGAATCGTCTTCTTCTTCACCATGCCTCATGGCAGGGGGTGTTAAGGTAACTGAATGCTACCTCTCCGAAACCAGTGATGATGAATCAGGTGATGAATTTGGCCCCAGCTATGTCAAACTTGCTTCCCTTGCCACTAAACAACAAAGAGCTTTGGAAAAGATTCAAAACATGCTTAGTAAGAGCGATGATATGTTGGGCGAAGAAATGGATCAGTCAAAAGCTTTGGCTGAGAGTCTTCAGAGACTTCATTCCAAGTTTGACGCCCTTCAAGGTCAACATAATGCTCTCTTGTCTGATCATGAGAAACTTTCTTCTGAATGCCTTCAAAGAGAGCAAGATCTTGAAAAGATAAGAGTGGATTATGAAGATCTTCTGAAGAAGCACGATTCATTACTTGCTCAACAAATCAGCGTTGCTCAGGATGAATTTGAACCACCATGTTTAAAATGCATTGAGCGTGATAACGCTGCCTCTGTTGCTAAATGTTCCACTGCTGCTACTGTTGCTCTGTCTTCAACTACTGATGTGGTAA